ACTTTCCGCAGCACGAGAACCATCGCCCCCCGGTCTCTCCCTCGACCCCCCTAACTTGGGGAATAATGGAATTGACCTTTTTTGGCTCGGGAACTTCAGCCAGAGCTCTCTCACCAACCTCCTCATGTTGAGATGTTTCAACATCAACGCCGGCCAGTTCGAGAACTTTTTGTACGGTGACACCAGCCCGGACGCAGGCTACCAGTTTAGATTTATCTTTATCTTCTTCTTATTCGTACTCATCCCTCAATCGGCAGATTGAGTCCGAGGACATAGCATCAGTGTATCCCTGGGGCTTGCGCGAACTCTTCGTCGGTTTCTTCTTTTCTGAGCCCGGGGAACTCGGAGCCCCTTTCCTTTTCTTCTCTTTGGCCTGCTTCGGAGCAGGTGGTCGGGGAAGGACTTCTTCTCTACCAGATGGGGGCCTCATTGCAACATCGTTCCCGAGGCCTACAAAGGAAAAAAGATGAGTAAACTCGAGAAGAAGCCCGAACCATAACCATTCTAAGAAAGAAAATTACCATGATTGCGGGCCTCCCATCGACCCTTCGATAACTCCATCCAAGCACGCTCGAAGTATGGTCTCTACGACTCCAGGCCATTGACCCATTGCTTGAGTTTGGGAACTATTTACGGCACTTGGGCTGCAGCTGCAACACCAAAACATAGATGAGGAAAGAAGATAAGAAGTAAAGCAGCAAAATTGAACACTCAAGGCGAAGTACTACTCACGATTCGTGTTCCATTTCTCAGGAAACGGCATGTCTTCAGCAGGGATCAGGTCCGAAGTCCGTATTCGGACAAATTGGCCCATCCAACCTCGGTCACGAGCCTCATCTATGCTCGAGAACGGGGCCTTGCTGGCCTGGCGAGCAAGCTTGATCAGTCCTCCTCGATAAAGTCGGGGACTGTAAAGGCGCATAAGGTGATCGAGGGTGAAAGGACATCCCTCGATTTTGCTTACGAAGAACCGGAGGAGAATCACTATTCTCAGAAAGAAGGATGGATCTGGTCAAGGGTCACGTCGTACCTCTTGCAGAAGGCGACGATGATAGGGTCTAAGGGACCCAACGTGAAGGGATAAGTGTAAACACTTAGAAAACCCTCCACGTGGGTAGTGATCGACTTTTCGGGCAAAGGTACCACAACATGTTTATCAACCCAGTTGTAATCCTCTTTAACCTTGGGAAGAAGATCATCGGTTATCGTGCATATATATACCTCAAGACCGGTTCACATCGACCCGGTACCGAGGAAGTCTTTTCAATCTTAAAATTGTCGACAGTAGGGAACCCTCCCGGAACGAAATCCTTAAGGGGATATTTTGCCGTAGCACCATCACTGGCGAGCCGTGATGAAGAGGCGACCTCCTTTTATGGTACAGTTTTAAGTGTTTTTGCCATTATAGAGTAGAAGAGAAGGGACTTAGGATGATATGCGGTTTTCTAAAAGGTTCAAGAAATTTGGGTGCAAGAATTGCAAAGCAAAGAGATTTTCGAAGAGAAGCAAGAATGGGAGAAACTTTAACGTAACGTTTGAATAGAGGAAGGTTACGGTACTTATAGCTTGCCGGTGACGGTTCAGAACTCATGGTGGCTGACCAGCAACTGTCAGGCATTTAATGCCTTGGTAACTGGACAAATGGGACGTTTTGAGTTGTTGCTTACGCCATGATTGGGTATATCAGTGACGTTCGTCGCTTACGTCACAGTCCATCGAGACGGAACTCGGAAACTCATATTGTTTCCCATCATCTTCTCTTCGAGAAACGAGGGGACTATCTGTATACAGTCAAAATCGGGTTTGCCCTTTTGTATGACTAATCGAGACCAGGACATGATAGGCCAATGTTCAGCCTCGTGCTATATCAAACCATGATGCAAAGTTAGGTTGCCGAGCTCGTGAACCAGAGACCGATCAAGATCGAGATCGAACAAGATCGAGACTGAGCAAGATAGAGATCGAGCTAGATCGAGGGAAGCTTACCGAGCCAAATAACGGAAAGCCGAAATATCCGCAATCGGGCGAGTATCACGACGGAAATCCCGGCACGTATCAAGAAGAGGCCGATTAATTAGCTAATCATGGGATTTCTTACCTCATATAGAATTTTATCAAGAGTAGGACTCCCCTACTATATAAAAGGGGTCTGATCATTTGTAAAAGGAATCATATTCACGCAATACAAAGCAATATACTGTCATATTCTAACTTTCATTATCTTGTTATTCTGTTCATAAGCTAGTTGAAACATCTTTTGGTTCAAGGGTGACTGAACTCGAGGACCAACACTATTCAATTTATGTGGTTTGCATTTACCATTTCTATCGTCAATTTGAATATTAATTTATTCTCCTTAATTTGTACCAAGTTACATCACGTATCCTTAAAACCGCGTATAAATTCAATTGTTATCCGATTTTAGGTTAAACAATGTTTACTAAATCTTTTAATGCACCTTGTATTTATTTATTTTTACATATTAGAGCTTCAAAACCTGTATCTCGCTCATTAATTCCTTGTGTAGTAACACAACTGTATGCTGTAGTGGATCATCATTCTCAAAGATGTCGCTTGATACTCTTCTCCAATTTTTTGAATATTTTAAATACTACTAGAAATATTTTGTGATGAAAAGAAAAATGTTACTGGTGAAAAAGACATATCATTGTAGGCAAAGATGGTACAATAGTCGAGCAAGTTGTGCATAAAAATCGCTAGCACTCTAAAGAAGTTTGTTGTGTTGAGAGGAGAATAATCTAACAACATCTGCCATCGTGCCCACCCTCCGTAGTCCCTCCACCAACCAACTGATTGCATAAACATAAATGATGATTCCTAGTAAATACATCTAAAAGTATACAAAGAAAATCTAGTTTTAAATAAAGGGAAAGCAAAATAAATTAGTAGTAGATAAATAAGCATGAATAAAAGTAAGATTAGATATCATACTGTCAACCAAACTCTCCGATCACTTGAATTTTTTCTTTGATATTCTGGTTGGTGTATATAAGTGATCTATGGTAAAACAATGCTCGTTGGGTGCATCAATTTACCTCTTTAACATGATTACTGCTCTATAATCATAACTTAAAAGAAACGTGCAACTAATTCAGTGAATATGAGCACAATGTTAAACTCATCATAGAGGGTCATTACTCAACTTCTTTTGTCATTATCAAGACGTTAGAAGAGGTGTCATATGAATTGTATAATCAAAACCATTTAAAGGCCTCCCTAAAAAGGGTTCAATTGATTTTGTGCTCATTAGTTTTTTAGTTTTATGTGAAATATCCTCAGAGAAATTTATTTTTACATGTAAGAAATCTGAAAATAAATAAAAAGAGCTACATTGAACCGTTTACTAAAAGGAAGCACTAGGATTGAGTAATTCGACATTTGAAAAAATTTAGAGGCATTATGGTGTCTTTTTGATGCAATATTTAGAACCATAGTGTGAGATTGAGGAATCTGAAACACCTTCCTCCCTCTCGATTCTTCCTTTTGACATGACCTTATCCTTAGCACTTCTTGCAGTTCGCTGCTGCAAAATCTCTTTGTTCTTCGACATAATAAACATGCATTTTTTTTCTGCTAGCTACACATTAACTGGAGCAAGATGCCTTTCTATACTTGTGAATGGGATTAAAGGTTGTCTATATATATACACACACACTTACTCATTGTGCAGTTCACTCTCAATATCAATGTTGCATTATTGCTTCAAACATAAAAGTTCATCATGCGTATGGAGAACAATTGATAGATATCATATGGAGATTAATATCAGATGTTTGGTACTCTATAGTGGTCAATGGCTCCAGGAGGGGTTTCTTTACCTCCTCTCCAGGCCTGAAACAAGGAGACCCTCTATCTCCCTCTTTGTTTATCGTTGCGGCTGAAGTCCTCACTAGATCTCTCAACAATCTCACTTCTAATCCTGACTTCACTCCTTTCCACATGAACCAAAGAGGCCCCAAAATCAATCACCTTGCATACGCGGATGATGTTGTAATATTCAGCGGGGGCAACAATAAGTCTATAAAACTGATCATGAAGCAGATTAATAAATATGAGAAGGCCTCTGGGCAAAAAGTTAACAAAGAAAGAAGTTTTTTCCTCACTGACCCCAAAGCAAGAGCCCACAGAATCAATAGAATGAGGGAAGCCACTGGTTTAATGAACAAAAAATTTCCCTTCAACTACCTTGGCTGCCCATTATATGTGGGGATAAAGAAACTTTCCTATTTCGATCCAATGGTAGACAAAATCACTAAGAGATTGAATAGATGGCAAGGCAGGCTTTTGACTTGTGGGGGGCGTACTGTCCTCATCAAAAGTGTTCTCCAATCCCTACCGATCTATACCATATCTGCTATGAGCCCCCCAAAGGGTACTTTAAGACTAATTGAAAGATATCTTGGTAACTTTTTCTGGGGTTTTGCAGGTGACAAGAGGAAATATCATTGGAGCTCGTAGAGGAATCTTCGCTTTCCAAAGGATGAGGGAGGAATTGGTGTGAGGTCCATGGAAGACATCAGCAACACTCTCGCCATGAAAGATGGTGGAGATTTAGAACTGTGGACTCACTATGGGCTTCCTACCTTAGAGCAAAATACTACATCAGATCACACCCGGTGTCTAAAAAATGGACATCGGGGAACTCACATGCATGGAAACATATGACCCATATAAGGAACAAAGTGGAAAGCAAAATTCATTGGAAAATCAACAAAGGAACGTGTAGCTTTTGGTGGGACAATTGGGCGGGACTAGGTTCTCTTTCAGATAATTTTCCCAACAGAAGAACAAGCAAGAACACCACAGTCAGGGAATTCATAACAGAGTGGAGTTGGGATACGACAAAGGTGGCCAATACTCTTGACGACCACACAACAGTACAAATTAGAGACATTGTTCTGGGAGATCCTAATAAAGATGACTATGCCATTTGGGACGCAGAATCAACTGGACACTACACTAACAAGAGTGCCTGACAGATGATCAGAAGCAGAAAGCAGAAGAATAAAGCTTTAAATAGGCAATGGCTCAACAATAATCCTTTCAAAATCTCCCTCCTGTCGTGGAGACTATACTTAGGTAAGCTTCCTTTCGATGATATTATTGCTAAATTTGGTAACCAAATTGTTTCAAGATGCATGTGCTGCCAGAGTCCTAAGGAGGACACCATTCAACATGTCTTCATTGAGGGGGACACTGCCAAATTTCTTTGGAACACCTTTGGAGCCCCTATAGGCATTAAACATGAAAACTGGCCAGTTAGGAGAGCCCTCAGAAATTGGTGGGACGGGAAACCAAAGAACAAAATCCACATATTCATTCTTCGTGCAGTTCCATTAGCAATCAACTGGAAAATTTGGAAAAATTGGAGAACATGTCGATATGGAGATCAAAAGAAGTTTCAACCAAGGAAAATGGAGTACCAAGTAATGTGGACTGTTCAAGCGGCATTGTCTATGGCCTTCCCCAAATGCAACATGACGGATTCATGGCCAATTTTCTGTGAGAAAGTAGAACGGTGGAATCCTACTTCGATAGTGCATCAAGTTACTTGGCAAAAACCACCTAATGGAAGGATTAAAATCAATACTGATGGAAGCTACTTACATGAAACGGGAAGCGCTGGAATTGGAGGTATTGCGCGAAATGAAGAAGGGGATCTAATAATGGCTTTCTCCCTTCCAGTCCAAAGCAACACCAACAATAGCACGGAAGCAATGGCTGCCAAAGTAGGAATTCAATGGTGTATCCAACAGGGGTATAATGACTTCTATCTGGAGATAGACTTACAGATAGTGGCCAATATGCTCAATGAACGATACACTGATAACCTTCACTTGAAAGACTTGATTGATGAAATAACCAGGATAATGCACAATGTTGAAATTAATATAGCTCACTACTTCAGAGAAGCAAACCAAGTGGCGGATACCTTAGCAAAAAATGCAGCAAAAAACGGGAGCAGTGGCTACTACTACACATTTCAACAGCTCCCAGGAAATGCCAAAGGTCCTTTCCAGCTTGATAAATGGCAACTACCTAGCTTTAGAATTAGGTACGATAAGGCCAATTTCTTTGTAAGTTGATGTATATTCTTTTGCTGATATGAAAGGTAGGATATAATTCCAGTACCTTGCCTTTCATATGTTTTCTGTAGGTGGTAAGGTCCATGTCCCCCTCCTTTGTACGTAATCCTTTTTTTTTGTCGAAATAGACATGGTAGGGGTCTCGCCAAAACCCCCCAACACTAAAGGGACCTAGAACCTGGGTGATTGGCTTCAAATAAAAAAAAATAAAAAAAAGTTCATCATACATGTTTTGGACAATTCACATTTGTTTGTTCGATCTGATGCGCTTGGACTGATTCATAGCGCTATGGCAGAACTTAAAGAGGCCAATATATTTGAGAAGCCAGTGTTGTTTTCTCACATGGCTAACTTCATGTTACACTTTTAAGAGAAATATCAATGTGACAATTGAAATGGATGAAAGCAACATATACCTTGAATATCGTCTATAAGAAGTATTATGCGAGATACATTTCATTACATATTTGTACCCCATAAGTCGAAATAACTAAAAAAAAGTCACATCTACCTAATTAAGTTTTTATTATTTTTATTTTGTAGGTTCATCCGAAATCTAATCATCTTGATCTCGATAAATAAGTCAATATATGATGATTCACATAAACTTGTACTTTATTCTTTCTTATATAATAACATAACTCGGTATACACGTATAACGCACGTGCTGAAAGACTAGTTAGTAGGAATACGTAAAGAAGAATATAGTAAATGAAAGATATCAGCTCTTTTTTTTTTTCATTTTTTTATTGTACTAGTTTAGAGCAAATGAAGAGATTTAAATTCGCGTATGACAAAAGAAAGGAAAGAGAAAACGTACGATTGGACCCATCGAAGCGAACCAATGGAGCAATCATCCCCTAATTGATTGATATTCTAATTTGGAAAGTATTTCCATCCACATCCGGACCCCATTTCCGACAGCCAATCCGCCAAATTTACCAAAACTAACGCAGCAGTCAATCGGTCTCTTAATATAAAGTCCAAGTGTCAACCCCATCTCAACAGTTATCCTTTACCCCTTCCCCTTTAGTAGAATTAAACGAAAGATAGACGAAGGGACACTGGAGAGAATAGTTGTTGGGGTCGGGGAAGAAGAGTGAAACGAAAAATGGAAACAATATAAAAATCCCTAGATAGTGATATAGAAATATATATAGATAGAAAAGGAACCCTAAAAGATCTACAATTGGGGCGAATTAATTAATGGGACGGAAGAAAGTAGAGATGAAGCGAATCGAAGAGAAGAGTAGCAGACAAGTGACGTTATGTAAAAGGAGGAAAGGACTGATAAAGAAAGCCAAACAACTCTCCATTCTTTGCGATGTCGATGTGGCTGTTGTCGTCTTCTCCGACCGTGGTACCCTCTACGAATCTTCCACCCCTAGCAGGTTCCTCCACGCTCTTCTTAACATATATATAGTTTCTGTTTGTTTGTACTTTACTATCCAGAACTCGATTATCAAATTATTTATTATTACTTCAGAAAGTCGGGAAGAATAATATCTGGCGAATCTCTAGGATGATACCTAGCCATATACGCTGATACAGACACGCTTTAATTTGTACTAATTTGTTAAGTTCCATTAGGGTTACAGACGGTCTATTGATGCATAGGAGAGTTTTTTTTTTTTTTTTTTGCATGTGATTATAGCGGCGGTAAGAGAATTATTATGGCATGAATAACAAGAACCACCTTCTAGAACATTCTTTGACAGGATGTATGTGTACTTTTTGTCAAGAGTTTATCCTGAAAGAAAGCCTGTCAGTGATATTTAGAAGCAAACGCCCTAGGTGTTCTTTAGGAAATTATAGTTGGGGATATTCTGATATTCTTAGCCTACCACAACCCTTTGACATAACCTAGTGACTGATATAATCGTTTATAAGATATATCTCGTTAAAAAGGTCAATATAATTGCTTATCTTGTTAGTATCATAATAATTGAAAGTGAAGAATCCAAGATTGAAGATCTTTCTATATATACATGACTTTTGATTTTTAACAAAATACTCTTATCATCCTTATTAGTGATTTCAATTTGTATGCTACTGGTGTTTCTACTTGAGACTCCTCATGTCAAAAAATATTACATGTATCATCCTATGAACATTGACATTATAACTTGAGAAATTGATTTTATTGGATCTCATTCCTGTGCATGGAACCATGCGGGGATGTATTGTGCGCTTAAAAATATTGAATGTTGTGATTATGTTGATGTATCTTTAAGTTTCTTATGTGTTGTACACATTCTATTGTATTTGAGTATTGATGATATAATCCATAAGCATTTTCTTGTAACTCTTTAAAATATATAAAGGAGTAGCAACCATTAATTGATCAACCCTACGCCTAGGACGTGGTCTGGGCCAAGAGTCATAGTTAGTTTTTATTTCCGTTTGGTTGTTTCTTCCTTATTGTTGATACCGCAAAACCCAGCCAGATGATTGTAGATGTTATGCGCGCATCACATTGCATGTTAAATTATTCATATCCAAAGGCATTGAAAAGGGAAAAATCCTTCATATTTCTCAATAGAGATCAGAATTGAACGACCCAGTTCAATCAAATGACAATGGAGGTGTCAATTGTCATCGAGAAATAAAGAGCATAAAGCACTACTTGATTTTACCTATACTACCTTTGCTATAAATTCTTCATTCTGTAAAGGCTCAATCCCAACTCTCTAATCATGTAGACGACATTCGTCCTAAAAAGATAGAGGGACCACCTACTTTGAGGAGAAAGAAACCGTGACATGGGTTCTGAAGATTTATTGTCAACTTGGACGTGAATGACAATGGAGGTGTGAATTATCATCGAGAAATAAACAGCATAAAGCACTAGTTGATTTTACCTATACTACCTTTGCTATAAATTCTTCATTCTGTAAAGGCTCAATCCCAACTCTCTAATCATGTAGAGGACATTCGTCCTAAAAAGATAGAGGGACCACCTACTTTGAAGAGAAAGAAACCGTGACATGGGTTCTGAAGATTTATTGTCAACTTGGACGTGAATGACAATGGAGGTGTGAATTATCATCGAGAAATAAACAGCATAAAGCACTAGTTGATTTTACCTATACTCCTTTGCTATAAATTCTTCATTCAGTAAAAGCTCAATCCCAACTCTCTACTAATGTAGACGACATTCGTCCTAAAAAGATAGAGGGACCACCTACTTTGAGGAGAAAGAAATCGTGACATGGGTTCTGAAGATTTATTGTCAACATGGACGCGGGTATGTAAACTATGCTTTGGAATACCTTTGAGTTAATTACAAGTCGGGTTACCTTGTGGGTGGAACAAGTTGGCCTATGAGACACAAAGTTTAGAGTGGTTCCCAGTTTTCACTATTTTTGCAATATATAAGCATATTTGCTTAGCCCATACCTATAAACAATAAAATCAAAAAGCCTACATACCATTCTTTCAACATTGATCCAGAGAAATCATATTGCTCTTTCTACTTGTGAAACGTTTGAAGAAAAAAGATTCAATCCAAGTCAAAATGCTTATCTATATCACAGTATATAAGGAACCTCAATTTGGTCATACTTTAAAGTATTTTCAATATCAACCTAACTTGCCAATGTATTTTCACTTGAGATTATTTGATAGCGCAATTCAACATTATTTGATAACGAAATTTATGGATATTTCGTTGTGGCTAGGTAAATAATTTTTTTTTGTATGACTATTAATAATGTTGCTAATGGAAAATATTATTCAAATATGGTTGAATATGATAACATGAAGGGACATCTACAAAAATTGGTACTTCAATTATAAGACCAATCCATTACAAATACTTCAATAAGATTAGCATAATAATATTAGCTTTTGTAGTTTTTTGTAAAACATTAAAAGATTATTAAAATTTCCTTTAGTTAAAATGTCTTGAAGAACATATAAACCTAAATATAGTGAAATGTCAAGTGATCTAACAACTTGTCGATAACTCTCTAAATGGATCAAGTGCATATCTCTAAATTCTCCTCCGTTTCATCTAAATAAACATGCCACGACACCTGTGTGGCTATAAAATCATGTCATTAAAGTAAAGTGAAAAGTATATAGTTAAATTTTTTTAAATATCAAATTCTTCTATTGGAAAGGCCAAAAAATTAAGTGTTACGTAAAATGAAACAGACGGACTATAATACTTTTGTCCTATGTTAAATCACATCGCGATGATTTTGAAACATGTCAGTTCCTTTGCTTTATAGACGTATGCAATATGCATATAAACAAAAATTAAGGTGGTTAACCTAACATATTCTCGAGTTATAGCTTGAAGTATGACCTGGTCAAAGTTAGGAGAAAAAAGGTATTGCTTCTACTCTATTAAATTGCATTAATGATGATCTAATCGGGATTTTTTCTTCCATAGAATATACAGTCAAACCTCTCTATAACAGTCTCGTTTGTTTCGGATATTGTTGGATGTTATAGCGAATTGTTGTTATAAAAAACATATATTATAATAAAACATGAGATTTGGTTCCGAAAAAATTTGGTTTTTATAGAGAAGTGCTGTTATATAAGGATGCTGTTATAGGGAGGTCTGACTGTATACTTTTGAAAGGCTTCATTGTTCGCCATGTAGTTGACGAACTATACGTGCTTTGGGTTTTAATTGAGCAAAGGAATGGGCATCTCACCATGGCGGTTGTTGATGGTCCATATAGGGTTTCATTCTTTCTAATTTCTTTCCTTGTAAAATAAAGATTAAAAGAAAAAGAGTATTATGTAAGATTTATAAGCAGAAAAAGGAGAAAATTAATTAAAGACATGAACGAATGAAAGGAATCACTACACAAGAATAGAGCCCTTTTTCTTCATTCACATGGTATTGGATCTTTTCTAAATGAATCATTTGCCCTTCGACGGGAATTCCTACTACTTCTATCTACCTACGTCATTCTTTCTTTCATAAATCAAGCAATTTCCCAAGCGCAATTCTGATTCTAAATTTGGTTTTCTGTTCTGGAATGAATCTGTTCTAAAGAAAGACCTGCCTATACTGAAGAGGGGCTGGTTCAATGTAATGAATGGTGGTATCGGTTGGAGCAAGCACAACACTCGTTCCCGCAGCCCTTGTTGCAGTTGATAGACTCAAAAGTAAGTGGGGCTGCTTCTGATGAACAAATGATAGAGATCCTTCCCTGACAGCTGTTGTTCAATCTGTCTCTGAGAGTGAGAGGAGTTGTAGGAATTCACATTGCCTTTTACGACATTCTTTCATAGTGGCCAAGTGGACCGTTCGGAAGACGGAGAGCCCTAAGAAACCCAGAAAGAGAAAAACCAATACAGGAATTACAACTAAGAAAGAATAAGAATAAGTAAAATTGCTTAAGTAAGGTAGTCGCTTCTTTTTTTTTCGGTATGCCGCTCCGCGAGCAAGGAGAGCCACGCACGAGCGGAGCAAAAAGAAAGCAAGGGGAATTCTTCTCTTTTTTGGGGAGAAATCCTTTGATTGCGTTATTGAATGTAGATCCATGTCTTTCTTGTTCCACTAGCTAAGACCAAATTCTCACATGTTCCTTTCGTTGCACGACATGTTGTTAAAAAGCTTACTGTGATTCTACGAGCAATAGACAATGTATTAGTATGTGTTGTCTTCATACGACGGGCTAATTGGGGCTCCTACGTGCTTTTCATTGTGTTTGTGCCTTGCTTTTTTTGGCATGTGATTATTCACTTTTTTCGGCTTACCTTCATATTTTCTTTCTCGACCTGTCCTCTTCAGTATAGGAGAGGATTCGTTTCATAATATCTTTGTTACAACCCAAGAATTGTTATTTGTGGTTGTTCATAGTTGGTGGTCAATTGTAGCGGTTATCCTTCTTGGAAGTAATAATTTTGCAGGTATTCACTCCTTTTTTCTATGCTAGATTTATGGTTGGTGTTGGTGTTCGTATAGGAAGTAGCTTGTTAGTAAAGTTCCCTAGTCTCTTTGAGAAAGAGCCTTGTCAAATTATCCTAGGTGGTGTTTTGGGATATTCATTTAGTTTAAAAAGTTCTAGACTGATATAATGTAGAATTCATTGTACTTTTGGGAAATGTTAGGAAACATGACATCATGTGCCATGAAGACCGCGACAATAACCTTGAATTTTGCAAGCACGCACTAGAAGTATTTTAATGCATAACAGTTAAGATGATCTATGTGGTTTGCTTCGTACAACATAGTGTCAATTATCCTGAAACCAAAATTTTCCCCCGTAAGATTGAAGTAGACAGGTGGATATCTTTGGTACCACCAGTCTACATTTGAAGAGAAGCCAACAAGAAAAGTCACAAATATGTGGTTTACTATGTACTTACAGATATGTGGTTACAGAGCAACTCGTGGAGTGTTTGTTGCCCTTTCCTTTCGTGT